TACAATTCAGTAAATATTGGGGTGGTACAGTTTGTAAACCGGTACAATATACTCTACTTTTCTTTACAACTAAAAGTCAACTATCTATATTTTCGAGATTCCTATATGCTCCTAACAAGACATCTGCGTCCTAGAAGGCCAGCTGTCATTTTTTTGATCGGCTTCACAATGAACCATTGGTTTTCCAGAACTGAACTGAAATGAAGATGAGGTTGAGTGGCGGACTAAGAGGGCGCGGATGGGGTGGATCGCCCGGTACCTGTATAAAACTTCCAAATGTTGAGAAAACCCAATTTATAATCATTAAATGAATATTTTTTTATAATTCCTCAATAAAACAAGGCAGAAAGGAGTTACATTTCCTAAATTTTTGTGTATGACAAGCTACGCTACCAAGAGATAATTTTATTTGAATATAAACACTGCGTACGCATTTCGCCGGGCCGTTTCTGCCAACCTGAATCAAGCTTGCATGTTTGAATGCTCTGTCCAATTTGCATAAAACTGTACCGATGGAAATGAAGGAAATTAACAAAATCTTTCTAATTGTTATTTTGTTGGTTTTTGTTCATTTCAATCATGAGAGGATTTCAGGACGTATCGTTACTGTAAGCCTTTGTTTTTCAATTGTTAATCAAACACTCGCTCAATGGTTTGTTCAGAATGTCCCAAAGAGCACTTTGACCGAGAGAACAAAGCAATTTTCTCAATTTGTCCTCTATTGCGGACATACCTACAATTGTCTTTCGTGCTTCATCTAAGTTTCCGCAAGGCTACTTGTCTTTCACTGTGGAAACTTCCTTCGACTGTTTGCATTTCTCGTACTAATACGCTGTTTACTACAAAAATCGATCAAAATGGGTAATTCATGTAATTAATATTGATTATTAAGAATCAGTTTTAAGAAAAAATAATCGATTACCGAATTTTCAATATCTAAGTCTCCTGAAACACAGCACCTTCTAGAACGAAAGCTAAGTCCCCCTATCCAATTTTGCAGAGAACCGCTGACGCCCAATTAGGGAACTGCAGTTGTGTGCAGTGGCAGCACGTTTGGTGGAACAACGGGCTAGATAACAGTACGTAAGTGCTACATATGCTTATTTATGCCTTATTTCATTTCTTTTTGGTGCATTTGTACTTTGGTTCTGAAAAACTGTAATACACGTTATATTTTTGAACATGATAATTTAAGAAATAATGAAATTATGGCTCAAAATTGACTATAAAGCATGTTATCTATCGTACATCACGTACGCCAATTTTTATATGGTAAAGAACTATTATGGGGCTTAAAAACAATGTATTTTCTTATTTTCTGACATTTTTGGTGTTCAGACATTTTTATTATAGCCAAAATAGTACCTGAAAGCTTGAAACTGAGCAATTTTAACTTTTACAAGATGGCGGCCAAATGTGCTTAGGTGTCATGTTTTCTAATAGTCCTCTACCAAATCTGATTCATGCACACGATGCATAGGATTTGGGGACCGGTTCTCAAAAAATGATGATGAAAATGCGAACATCAGCATCAGTGCAGCGGCCCTTGTGACAAAAATATATTAGTGAACTTCGAGCATATTTTTATCATTGCAGTGGTCTTTTGGGGAGGAACTCTCACCTCGTTCCCCCCTTCCTTCCTGTGGGTCCGGCAATGCAACTGTCACTTTCGCGCTAAAACAAAATTCATGCATCAATCTTATCACACCGATTTTTGGCTCACTAACTTGACCTGCTCAAAAACAAGTAGGAATGACATTTATGATGGATTGAGTTAGTACGCTGAAATTTGGGACAATGAAATTGATACATGGACATTATATATTCGTGTGAAAATGGCAATTGAAACTAGGATGGCAGGTTGTCAAAGCGTTTCTACTTCCCACGCCTGAGACACGGCGGAGAAAAATGCCAAGAAAAAAAAATCGCATCAAACTTCCTTGTTTGACATTCCAGCCGATTCTGATTATTGTTGAAAAAACTTTGGCAGGCGCTAAAAATTGACGATTAGGGGTTGTAGTCAGAGAGAGAGAGCAAGGTAACTTTTTTCTCAGAAGAGCTAGTTTGTGCCAAACGCAATCCTTTACAAGCAGCATAGTATGGGAAGTACAAAGTCAACTTAATTGACGCCATCTTTTCAATGGCAACATGAAATGCCTTCCAATATTTTTTGGGGCCCGCCATTTCGATGTTTTAGAAGGAACTCAAAACGTTGTCTAACTGGAACAAGGTTTAAATATTCTTTACGTTATATTTACTTTAAGCCCGCCACCCCCAGACCTACGAGACCCACGCGCGCTCAAGTTCTATATACGCCACTGACATACTTCAAATTCAGCCGTTCCCGTGTGATCTCTGCCGTACTCTTTATCCCATTCAGTTCTTTCTCTTCAAGAACGATGTTTAACCGACATGTCAATAATTCGCAGCTCGCGTTTCGTTATAGAAACAACTGATAACTGACTTGCTTGCAGTGGCAAAATTCGAAACGACCGACGCGATTTGGATGAGTGATGAGTGATTTTAGGCCAGTTGCTACACGATCCAGTCTTAGTTTCAGTCTACTCTAAGCAGAACCTCATCGTTGCCAGTTTTTAGATATCTAAGAAACCCAGGCATTTTCAAACAAACTTTGATCCCTTATTTTGGCACTGCCTCAAAATTCGTTCTTAGCTAAAATGTCCTGTCAATAACCTACCTCCCTGCAAACATTGATGTTTGTAGCTCAAACAATCTCCGTTGTTTTGTGATTAATGTGTAACCTTTAGCTCTTATATGTTTCAAATTCGACCCTCATCATTAGGATCTCGGAGACTGTAACAGATACAGTACGTTGCTTAAACGGGGACAAAGTTGCATATCTGAGCAGCTCAGAATGTTTCAAAATTGAAAGTACTGATTGAGAGCCGGAAAAAAACGAATGTTCCCAAGATGGTACCGATTTTATTTGTAGTGAGATCTCAAATAAATTGCACATTAACATTGCCACTTTTCTTCATCTTCAAGATGACATAATTAAAATCTGGTCTCTGGTTCTCCAGCATCAACTTCATTTTTTCCTATGTACGCCATATTGGTTTTTTTGCATAAATAAATGGAATTTTCAATTCTGACTCCAAAAACGTATACATTACCAAGCCTTGGTTATTTCAAAAAAGCAGAATTTTCTAGGTAGGTCTTGAAATGATCGGATATTCATTTGCTTCTCATACCAGATTTATACAAAAATCACTTTTATTTTTCCTGGCTTTACTCCGAACCAAAAATTTCCAAGCATCCGCATTGTCTACAAATTACAAACAAATTACACAGTAACGTTATCACTTTTTCTCGTCTACACGGTGGCATAATTAGAATTTCGATCTGACGTTTCAGCTCTCAGATTTTTAAAACTATACCGTTTTCGATTTTCTCCATGATTATGTTTAAATAATATAAATGAGTTACATATGTTGTTCCTCATTCGATGAGTTTAAATCAGCTATATAAAATTAGGCAGATGAAGTTTTATATCAATTCGTAACATGTTGTCATCTTTGATATTCTATGAAACAATGATGACAATTTGATAATTTCAAGGCTTACTCAAGAAAAAAATGTACCACAAGACATATGACAGATATACAAAAGTGTCAATGTCAATGTGCAGTTTATTTTGAAATCCTTCCTCAAATATGTTCAGAAAATTATATAGAAACGATTATGGAAAAATTCGTTTCCTTTTTCGTGCATCTGTGTAAATACTGGAAGCGTCAATACCTTTCAAATGCATTTTCTAAAATATATAAATACGCAACACAAGTTTGCTATAACGTATTGCAAACGAATTATTACTTAAAAAAGCGTCTCGTGCAATATTTGCTTGTTGTTTTTGAAGGTGCCCCCCTCGGTTTTGATCTGGGTACGCCTTGATATTGGGCCAGGCAGATTGCAAGCCTGCCGTCAGTGTGAACGCGAGGCAATATAATATGGTATATTCAAGCGGATGCGAGTGAGATATTGTTTGTCTATGGGAAACTTTTAGTACGCATATTTGATTTACTGAATTTTATGTGGAGCAGTGTTTGAACAAAATTTTTGTCCAAAAACCAATAAACAAATTTAATAGATATAATGCATCTATAGAATTTTGGGCTTTTGTTTACTTTTTAGAAAAGTTCGATTATTTACCATTGAAGGGGACCAGGGAGGTAGCCATGAAGTGAAGAGGGAACAGCACTCAAGAACAGATTCGGGATCTAAGGGTACATACTGAAAGATGCTTACTGTTATCCTTTCTTCGCTACCTCAATGTGCGCTTCCTCGCACCATTCTACATGGATAAAGGGTGATCATACTGAATTCACCCTCGACGTTTTCTCTTCTCTTCTCGAACGCGGTTCTTGATGTTTTATTTGTTCACGCGCAAACAACAAGGCAGGATGTCGTCGAGCGGCAGTGACAGTGAAAGTGAATTGTAACCAGTAACCAAGTGGTAGAGGTTTAGTTCTCTGCCAATTCGAAAATACAGTACACATCCAGTAAACAAAGCGAGACAGGAACTTGGAGAGTACCACCATCTTTTCCTCGAATTGAAGAGAGACACGGAAACATTCCACTCCTACATGAGAATGTCGATAGATACATTTGGTTACAGACTCGACAAAGTTGAGCCTCAACTGGACGACCGCAAGTACACCAACCTACACAGTAATCCAATTCTTGCTGAGGAACCAATCACAGCTAAGTCCACCCCGATGTTTCCCTCCTGACAACCAGTTAAAAACAAAATATTCGTTCTTCGGCGCAGTCGACCACGAGGAGGCGAAGGTAACGGGGCAGAATGCATCGTCACCATCAACGCTCCCAACTTAAAACACGTGTTTGTTTCACATAGCGGTTAGACCGAGGAACCGATCATCGAGGTAGCGAAGAAAGCATCGCAGTATGCATCTTGCATTATGAACATACCCTAAGGGCGGTCGCAGTGGTGGCCACTACATTCATGTTCAGGAACATGTTTATCTCTCCCCGGGTGATTCTACATCAGGGAGGGGTGGCAGGCATGGGGGTCTAGGAGGAGAAGTTCGCTCCCCTGTAAATACGATATTGACAGTATTGTTTATAGTAAAAAATCTAATAAAAAATAGTTTTATTATATTCGTAGCTATATCATATATTATAACTAATATTATTATATCATAGAGTAAAAAAAGTTTTATTGGATATAGAAAAATATTTGGTGATTTTCATCTTTGTCGTCGATATCTTCATTCTGTTCGTCACCACTATGACAGTATACCTCTCTCTGTCAGCTTCTGTAACAAGCAAACCAAGTTAATACAATTATGAATAATATGCCACATTCTTGAGGTTAATCTATTTTAAACAATCAACGAGGTTACAACCATTATCAACTTGATCTGAAATTTGCGCTAATAACAAGCGTCTGTAGTTCCGTTTTAAACTTTCTAAAACTGCTTGATCCATTTGCTCCATCAGTGACCTTACATTAGAAGGAAAGAATATCACTCGTATCTCTTCACTTTAAGCTGCTCCTCACTTTTGTGGCTCGGAGAAGTGTCTAATAGCAAAATACATTTTCTCGGATATCCGCGTTCCTTCAAATATTGTTCAGTCTTAGGAACAAAATGATTGTAAAATCAATATTTAAATAGAGCGGCATCCATCCAGGCATTTTTTTGATTTCTATACCACACTGGAAGGGCGTTGGGACGGACGTGTTTAAATAGCTGATTTTCCGATTAACAACAAAGGAAGTTTGTGTGTACCGGAAGCATCGCTACAAGCAAGGATAATCATACGTTCTATACTGCGTTTGTAACCAGCAGCTCCAGATTCTTGTCTTGAATCTAAACTTTTCGCCGATAACATTTTATAGTTGAGGCCCCTTTCGTTGCAGTTGTAACTTTGTTCTGGATTTAAACCATACTGCTTCATCAATTCTTTAAAATGTTCTCCAAATTTTAATGCAGCGGACTTATCGGCAGATAACTTTTCTCCGCAAACTTTTAATTCTCGTATACTGTGTAATTTTTTCCATCTATTCAACCAACCATCACTGGCTGTAAAGTTATCAGGCGCCTCCATAACTGGCAATTCTTCACTTAAGTTGACTGCCTCTTGCTTTAGAATTGGTCCGAAAATTGGTATTCCACGTTCTCGATTCTGTGAAAACCACAGATAAAGCATCATCCACTTTTTGATATCCCTCTTTTCCATAGTTTTCCGTGACGGCTGCGATGATGTCAGAACACTAGACCACTTTTCAATTTTCGCGCGTTGTTTTTTTCATTCTGAAATAGTACTCACGCCCACACCCAAATCACTTGCCACCACAAGCACCTCTATTTAAACGTCTGATTGCCTCAAGTTTCTGTTCTATGATAATAACAAAGCGTCTACGTTTATTTCTATGCTGCTCCATCTAGGCATTTAGGCATTTAGGCAGCAGCGGTGGCCGCAGTAGTAGACTCTTCAGCCTCCTGATCAGTCGCCGTGCGCTGTGCGGGTTCGAGTCCCGTCCCAGGAGAAATTTTTCTCTTGGCTATGGATGTTGTGATTGTCCGTACTGTCGAACGCGGAGGTACCACCCGGCGGATCTGGTAGGCGGAGCCAGAATGTGTGCATGTTGCATGCACACGTGTTCCCTCGCCAGAGTCCGTGTGGCGTCCCCCCTTTCCCGTGTATCCCCTCATAGCCCCACGGTACCCAATGGGTGCTTAGGCCTTTAGGCCTTCGTGGTAGTTGAAGTATAAAAAAAAATCTTAGCGATTGTGAACCTGAGTGAAACAAACATACATGCATATTTACCAGTGAATTCCGCAAGCGCGCTTAGGGAATCTAATGGCGCAAACGCCGAAAGGGGAACTACCAGCGGCTATTTTGGATCATGCGCCGATTTCCCGAACAACTTAGGTTAATACGGAGAAATTATTGCATGCGATGTGTTTCGGGTAAAGCGGATTTCGGATAATCGCGATTCGGATAATCTGGTTTCTACTGTATTTTTTATAATAAGAAATAATAATTAGATACCTGTTTTTAGGGAATCACTGACATCATTTGGTAGCTGATCCCTCCAAACTATTAAAACTGGTATTTGTCATTTTGCATGTCATAGTTGACAGACACGTTTTTGACAAACCGGACCATCTGAAAAGTTTTATACTCGTAGTATAAGCGACAGTCAATACTCGTATTTTTGATTTAAGTTGAACTTTCTGTGTCCGAGAATTTGTGAGACATCGAATCGAGAAATGTATTATACTCATAGAAGAGAAAATATCGAACAGGTCTGCTTCTTTGGTAATCTCTCATGCCCAGTGTGTCCGATTCTGGGTTAAAAAATAGAAAATTTGAGAAGGTGACTTGATTAGTAGTTTATGTACAGTACAATGTGTAAGGTTCAGTCCGAATTGAAAATGTGGATAACAATAGAAGAGATAATATTGATATATGTTTTTCTGGAACCCTTTCATGTGCACGCAGTCTTCGAAATGAAAAATGTAGGTAACGATAAAAAAGAAAATATCGAAACGTTGTATGCCTTTAGTAATCCATTATCACTTTAACACAGGAATATTCAAATTCACCAGCTTTTCGTACTCAGAATGTAGTCTTACCGAGTTCTAGTTCATTGAGTGGTGGAACTATATGAATAATTTTAGTTTCCACTTTTCTGTGCCACATTCTCTGAGGCGCAGAGACGTCTATAAGTATTGATGAAGAAGCATTAGAATATACATTGACGTTCATCTGTTCAGTCTCACTGATTTTGATACCGAGAACGCTGTCACTGAATGTATGGGGTTGTCCAAAACGGACGCAGGAAAGTAAACGCATATTAAAACAAGAAAGATTGATATTCAAATCAAGTTGGGTACTTTATTTTGAAGGTACATTTATACCATTTATGTATGAAAAATAATATCGCTCAAATATTCACCACGACTGGATTTACAGACGTCCACGCGATGGTCGAAATTTTCAATGACATTTTGCAACATGGTCGGTTCTATGGCATTTATCTCGGCAATGATGTTATTTTTGAGTTCTTGGAGGGTGGCTGGTTTGTTGACGTAGACTTTGCTTTTCAAATATCCCCATAGAAAGAAGTCCAAGGGAGTCAAAAAGCACGATCTTGGTGGCCATGGCACATTTCCTCTGCGCGAAATCACGCGATCACCGAAGAAGGACTGCAATCGATGGATATTGACGTTGGTTGTGTGGCATGTTGCACCGTCTTGTTGGAAATAAACATCGTCCATATCCATTCCTTCAAGTTGCGGCAAAAAATAGTCCTCTATCATCACGTGATATCACTCAGAATTGCCGGTAACGGCGTCCCCGGCCGCATTTTCGAAAAAGTAAGGTCCGATGATGCCTTTTCACCACAATGCACACCACACAGTCACTTTTTGAGGATGCATCGGCTGCTCTTGATACGCACGGGGATTTTCGTTCGCCGAGATGCGGCAGTTTTGCTTGTTTACCGTCCCATTCAAAGTGAAATGCGCTTCGTCGCTGAACATGATTTTTGATGAGAAATTGGCATCAATTTGGCGGTGTTCAAGGAGCCAATCTGAGAACGTTCGGCACGAAAAATGGTCGGCCCGACACAGCTCTTGCGTCAATTGGATCTTGTAGGCGTGAACATTCAAATCCTTGTGGAGAATGCGGAGCAAACTGGTTCTCGAAATGCCCAATTCTTGGGATCGACGCGTTGTTGATTGTTTCGGATCGTCTCTCACACTCTCCTTCACAACAGCAATATTTTCCGGTGTGCGAACGCTCCTTGGCCGCCCAGAGCCTGGCAGATTTGCCACAGAACCTGTTGAATCGAATTTACGTACCAGACGACCGATGGTTGTTTCGTTTGGGCGGTTGTTGCGACCGAAATGTTCACGAAGCGCGCGAAACGTGTTTTTTATTTTTGCACCATTTTTGTAGTGCTTTTGAATAACTTTAATGCGGTCTTCAATCGAATACGACTCCAAAGCGATCAATGGTAAACATTCAACTAACAAAATGGCATGTCGGTGACAGAAAACAAAGATGGCGTCTATGTCAAATTGACGTTTACTTTCCTGCGTCCCTATTGGACAACCCTTTATGACCTGTTACAGCTTCTTGGTACCATACTCCGTGAGACATAGTCTTCGAACCAAAGAAATGGAATGACGCTACAGAGGTTTGCCCCTCTGAATAACAATAGTCGAACCAGCTTATGATATCCAGTCTAACTTATTGTACCTGGGTAGTTGCAACTATATGCACAATCTTAGTTGTCCCTTCAAGGTACCACAATCTGTGAGGTGCAGTGTTCGAGTTGGGAGGTATAGAAGGTAGAAAAGGAAATACCAAAAAGGTAGGTTTATTGTAATATTTTATTGTTGTTATACAAACATGAATGTTTAGGCTCGTCAATTTTGGTAAAGACGTTTTATCTAGATGTATAACTTCAGTTGCAATTTATATATAACGTATGTATATATATATATATATATATCAAAATTTTAGTGACACAGTCTCCAAACTGAAATTTGTCAACTTCATGAGAAGTTTCACCGACTTTAGGATGGACACAGGATGCACTTAGATGTACAATTCAGTCCACTGTGAACATTTATGCGAGAAACGAACCAAAAACGGAAACTGCGTTAGAATTGAACAGACTGTTTGTTGTTAAGTTGTTTGTCTGAAATGTGAAAAAATAATGTTTTAGCGGTTTCTATTTTTGTTTTGTCTTTGGCCTCTTTCTCTGCTGCTGCTGGGATTGTATCAACATTGTCTAATTTCATCGAAAACCGAGCTATATTTCTCAAGTTGTAGGCGGTTTTAAGATTAACCGACAGACAGACCGACAGAAAACGAACGAAATGGTTTTTCGTGATGTAAATGATATCCAAAATACATAATATCTTATTTTAGGTTAGATTGGTGCTTGTAAAGCGAACAGCAGATTGGCAAGGCTCACTGTGGGGGTCAAGAACAAAGTCTTTTTTCCGGAAAAAATAACAATGAAAAATAACTATCACTATTTATTCCGTTTCAAACGAGTATTCGAATTGTCAGAGAAACTGATTAAGGTACACACGAGAACTACACATATTTCACATTTGTCTAAATAATAATTGCGTTTTGAATAAGCTTATCACGCTCGACGAAATGTCAGTAAAGCCATTTACCAAACATCTGCGGTTTTATTTAAGGTATGCTTACATTTAAACAGGTTGCAAGCATATGTTGCGCAGCTTGTTTAAGTGGAAACGCTATCTTTTCAGGTACATTTCCGGAAGCATTCTCAGATCCTCAGAAATGTGAACGGTCTGCAGCACATTGCAGAACACGTTGGCGCATTTTTGTCGTCAGTGCGTGTGCCGCAACATGTTGCAGAATATTCCTATTTCCGGCACATGTGCCGGCGTGTCGTTGTACAGTACATTTTTTGGAAAATGGCGTCAAGTAGACTCAGCACTTCATAAGGTATTATATTCGGTACAAATTGGTCCCTCTGAAAAAAAGTTAACCACTAACACGTATAACAAAACAATTGAAGGGACCAAGTTAGACAAACTCATACAATTAAAATTTGCATATTCACCATGTGTTTTTTACAATTTTAGAGCTGTTTACGATTTGGCTCGTTGAGAAAATATGCTCTCCATTGCTCTTCAGAACGTTTTGGAGGTAGTAACGCATTCACACAAAAGTTATCTCTTGTCGATGGATGGCCCTCCCCCTTCCCCTGTGAAAAATTACTGCGGGCGCATATGCTAGGGTATGTTAGTTTCTAGAGAGGGCAAAAAACAAACGAATATTCCTGACATCGTCGTCTATTGTAATAAATTAAAATTGAAATATTATTATTCCTTGGGATAAATATGCATTTGCATTTGCATTTTGATGCACACGTCGTAAAACAGCACCTGTTAACTGTCTAACTTGAACCTTACATCCAAATAGACATAAAAATATGATTTATTGTTTATACTTGGATCTCAATCTGGAAATATGTGAACGGCATAGATCGATAGATGCTACTTATAGGTACTGTTTCTTTGGAATTGGTATGTTTTCAAGATTGATATTCATTTAAAATAAGAAAACTGATTTAGTGGTCGTTTCTTACGCATCTTACCGGACAAAGTCTCGATTGGCTTCTGTGAAGTGAATGGGCGATTGCGATCTATATCAAATAAGTGAAAATAGCCTTTATGTCGTACCCAAAATACTAATACTGCACGTTTTATGTTGAAAAAGGAATGGAGAAACAGAGACAGCGAAATAAGAAATAAAACTGGAAAACTAATGAACCGTTCTGTATTATAGGTATATACTCGTATTTTGATATTTTGAATAAGAACGTTTGTAGATGATCTTACTGAGTGAAGGTTTTATATACTCGTGAATACGTTTGAGCGGATTTTGTATTTTGCCAAATTCCGAAATTGAGAAATCCTGTTTTTTTATGTGATATGACATGTACTTAATGAAAAACCAAGTCACTTCTTTTCGTCGGTCTATCTGTCTGTTCGCTAATCCTTGATCCCTGTATAACCTAGAATGCACCAGTCGGATTTTGATGCCACAAACTTACAGCTGTGCCAAAAACGAGAAAGTCTTGTAGATCTTTACAACCGATCCAGTGGTGGCGGAGCTACGCACAATAAGCGAAAATAATGAAAATCGTTTAAACTTCGTTTATTGAGGTTTCAGTGTTTACTACTCATCTTCAGAAAAATATTTTGGGAGAGTTATTGTAAGGAGTAAAGTGTATTTTTATCTTTTAGTGTAGGAATACTTATAATCCACGTGTGGATGCGCGGGCATTCAAGTATTCGAAACTCCTTATACCGCCAAGGAGTAAAAGCTTTGCCAAGGATCACTCTTTGAAAAATTGTCTATAGCATATTTATATATTATGTTATTATATCGTATATTATGTTTTCAGGAATATAGTCACTATAAAGCAAATTAACACATGACTTCAAGCCAAATCATTGACTTCAGCAAATATTTTCAGGTGGACTACTGATACCTGCTTCAACTAGCATTTTGTGTAACACCAAAAATAAAAAAGCAAGCACGTATTTTTAAATGATTTATAGAAGAGACATTGACATAATGTTTCCTCAAGCTCTAGGTCTGGATAGTCTACAAATTCAAAGCCCGCTTGGTGTGATGCAGCAAATCAATTTGACATATTAACCAATTTTTTCTTAACATAGCCTACTACGGTTACTTACGGAATTCTTTTAATGATATCAGATGCAGGTTTGTGTAAAACAGTTTTTAAAACCTCTTCAACAGCTGGCAAAATTAACTTCTCTCCGATAGTATGCGGTTTTCCGGATTTTGCTATAAGTAACGAGATATTGTAGGACGCCCGCAAACCATCATCATTGCTTTGTGACGTCGAAGCGAACATTCTGTCCAGTGTAGGTCTCTTCTGAAATTTGTCTTTGGGTGTTTGAAAGTATTGCAAATATTTCTCTGTTTTGTCAGGGTGGCATCTTCTCAGATGATCTTGCAGTTTAGATGGTTTCATAGCGTCATTCCCCAAAACTTTGTTGCATAAAACGCACATAGGCGATTGTTTGTCCGGCAATGATGGAATGAACCCAAATTTCAAATAATCAACACTGTACTGTCTACATTCCTTTTTAGATTCGGACATCGCATCAAGCAAGACAGAAAATCTAGCAGCTGTATATTAAAAATATTTTTTGATTTTTCCGAAAACATTCCATAATTCGAACATCTTCTTGCAACAATTAGCTCGAATTACGGAGATTGCACTGTAATTATATTACCGATTGCTAAAACTTTCAAAAAGAAACTATCGAGGAGTACTCGTGTAACTTTGCATGACTGAATATTTAACTACTAATAACTAAAGTCATGATTGGCGTAATTTATCTATCTTTGCTAACTACAAGTACAAAACTAAAATTTAATAAAAAATAATGTACTTACTTTTTTCCAGCACTTTCAAACAAAATAACACTGACTCACTATAATTTGTGTGATATCCTATCTTCTTAGATTTTTTAAAATATTTTCTTAGCACTTTCCTTTTCAAGATTCAGGAAACGAATAAACGTATTTGTCCCACATTCGTATTTATAGAGTAACGAATTGAACAACTCAGTGCAAGCTGGCGAAGCTCTGAGACTGCGACTCTCAGGTTTTTAAGTTCAAAATGTATTGCGGCCACAAAGCGAGTACCAACATCCTACAACTTACACAATTTTATAAACATATATAATAAATTTTTTACTTCATAGGTACTTTTATAAATAATGTATATGTTTTGATATTATAAGATAGTATGATGTAAGTAAATAGGTACTATCAGTGTATGTGTTGAGATCCACTATCGTGGACCCCCATATTCATTTCATGGGCCCCCAAATTTTTTTTCGTTGACGTAGACCCTTTGCAGGTTGTCATAGACCCCTAGGGGTCGATATAGACCACTTTGGGAATCAATGTCTTAGAGCATTCGCTATGATTCAAATACTGGTTTCCTGGGTTAGGGATTAGGATTCAAGAAACTGAAACAATATTGTCAATCATTTGCAATTTAATATAAACAGTATTTCCGACTATATCAAGATATGAACATTTCAAGGCAAATCCAGATAGTTGACGTTGAAATGACTTACCTGTGGCACTCGAATTCCGAAGCATCATTCGGCACACAGCTTACTACCTACCTCGGAAGAGGTCAATTCCGCTATTTCATTCCTGTACAACAAATATTCCAACGCACTCAAAAATGAATACACATATAACTGGTAATTTTAATTTTTTATTGCCCAAAATCCCGCAACATAACATCTAGGATAGATTTGGCTGCGAATACGCATCACCAATTGCGGAAAACTTTACGTTCAAATACCTTCTTGACCATTCTCAAATTTTGAGTTTAGGAGGTCAAGGTCAAGGTCATACTTAGATAGGGTGATGTAACTTGAAAACCAGTAGCTGTATAGGGAAACTACCGAGGCGATTATTTTCATGACGTTTCTAGGATATCCAACGGCGACCTTGGATCTAATCTTAACAATGGTGACCTTCAAGTTTATGCGAGGGACAATTCGATTTTTGTAGATTACACAGTTTATGGAATTATTAAGAACTTAAGGTGGACTTGTGTTTGACCTTGATGGTCAAGTTTCAAAAATGGTCAAGGACATATTCGAACAAGAAATTTTGCCTTTTCTCCACTTCCGCGGTCAAAAGTATAGGGTTCCATTAAGAAAGACTTGACCTTCAACTGACCTTGAAAATCATGGCCAGGGTCACCCAAATCATGAAAATAATATCTCGGTAGTTTCTCCATATAGCTATTGGCTGTCAAGTTATATCACGGTACCTGGGATAGACCTTGACCGCGACCTGCTAAGGTCGAAATTTAGGAATGGTCAAGATTATACTTGAACGAGCCCAAACGTTTAATGAAAATCTATGTTGAAAATGAGTTCTTATTACAGCATGCGGATTTTCTACTGCCCAAACATGATTGTTGTGGAAAGTGTATACTCCATCTCGTGTAAATGTGGCTTCATCTGTATACAAAATTAATTTCGTAAGATCCTCATTTCTGCCGACCTGTTTGAAAGCCACTGGCATAATGTAACTCTTCTAGGATGATCTTCAGGCTGAAACGCTTATATCCGTTGATAATCATAAGAATAATACTGCTGTTGTCGTATTATGTGCCACACTTTACTATGAGAAGTTTCAGCTTGAGCTGCTATGGCTCTAGTACTCATTGCTGGGTCGTCTTCGACCATTTCTAAAATGTCTTCCTTAATTTGTAACATTTCAGGTTGAGCAGGTATGCCAGCATGACTTCCTCGTTGTTCTTTTAAATATCCAGTGTCACGAAGTCTAATAACTAAATTTACAAACATCCGTGGGGCCGGATGATTTTTTATAGGAAACCTTTCCGCATACAACCTGCATGCTGTGGCTGCACTTTGTTGGTACTCTCCGTATGTTAATATTATGTCCACTAGTATCATTGTTTTCGTAAGCATGGGCAATTTTTTCGCACAGACTAATGAGACAAATTAAAGTATACAACTGATCGAACCAAAGGCTCGTACTGAAAATCAAACAATAACAAAAAAATTTGGACAAATTTAGATAAACGGTAAGGCTAGTAAGCCAATAACGCTAGGATTTTACACGGCAGTGGTCGAGAATATTAAAATATCTGAGTAATAACATTCTTATTTTTTAAACTTTCAAACTTTTACTATTTCTTTTATTATGCAGCTTTTATGTAGGCGATTTTTGATATATCAACTCTTTTTGGCGAGTCCTACAAGCAGTTAAAATAAATGACTCAACTTTGAAAACACCCTGTATTATGACGAGAAATTGATATTCTGTACAAGTATAAAGGTTTCTTATTGAGGATTGTTTTATGTACAATTGTAAGCGATAAATTTATGAATGTCTTTAACACTTAGTCAGCACATAGCAACAATAATAACAATAAATGGGCTTTATTTCTTACAAAAGTACAAAAGAGGTAAAGTGTCGCTAAGAGTAGCGTTCTCCAATGTAACCCTTATATGGCCTGATATGTAATCATATTTTGTTAGAATGTTTATCAAACGGCAACACTTTTTGGATTTTATGCAAACATTTTGCTGTATTTTGGTCGAGGTAGGGATGATCTAATGGCATACAATAAAGAATTTTGGAAATAACTAGTCTTTCACATAAATCTTTCTTGAAAAATTTGTTTCTGTGTGCATGCAGAAGCCTTAATGCTAAATAGTAGTTCCTAACTATAAGAGCGATTTCATTTCGGAACATTTATTTTTCATCAACGAGCACCAAGAGGTTTTTTACACGGTCGGTGAATTGCAACTGTGATTTATTGACAAAAACCGGCAGCTTCCTTCAAAAGATCGGGTTTCATTCTTGATACACATAAAACTATTCGGGCTTTCCGAGTATTTAATTTAGCAGCATTGTCTTTTGCATAATCATGTATTACTCCTAGATGCTAGTTTATAAGTGAGGTAACGTTTTCATGGCTATTTAGGTGAAATGGTAGATACATTTGGGTATCGTCGGCGTAGGTCGTTATTTTGAAATTTTGAACAACTGTGGTCGAATAATGCAATTTTGATAATAGGAGTTCGTGGTTAATTGTATCGAAGGATTTTGAAAAACCCAGAAGCAATAAAGGTGTAGCATAACCTTTATCAAAATCAGCGGTGATGTCATCATGCATCGATAGAAGGGCTGTCGTGCTACAGCCACCTCTAAACCGACATTGTTGATCTAGCAGTAGACTATTGATAATTGTATATGTATTAGATTGAGAAAACATAATATTTGCGAGTAATTTCGATAAAACAGGAAATAAACTGATTGGCCGTAGATAACTGTAACATTTGGGGGATGCAATTTTTGGGACTGGAATGATAAGCGAGTCTTTCCGTACGTTCGGAAAATATCCATCGTCCAGAGATTTGTTTATTTTATACGTTATATGTTTTTGGATAACAGGGAAACTTAATTTTATCATTTTAGTAGGAATTCCGTCAGACCCACTAGTTAAAAGAAATTGGAACGTTTTTTTTCAAATCACAGACGACCCCCCTCCCGTTCTTCAATTTTCAGTCGCCAATACCCCCGCCCCGAGGTGGGCACCTTCCTAGTCGTAAACCCGTCCACCTTCCGAATCCCTCAATTCAAATATATATTTACATGGACCCTTCCACAAAATATTTTCTAGATCCGAAGCTGATCTATCCTATTCAAGAACCATAGTGTCTCAATTTCGAAATTTTTCACTAGTGGCGTGGGAAGTAAAACTGTTGTTGCATTTCTCCCTCGTCCCGGATAAATTGTTCTCAAGATAACACCACCTATGATACTGCATATAATTATATATGCAATAAATAAAACAAGAGACCTGAAATAAGTTTAACGGTTAAATAGAATGCGGTAATATCAACACATGGACGTGTTCCATGATTAATGTAAAGTCTACATCGTTGTGTTAGCAATTTTTAGTGCAGCGATTTTGCTATCTTAATTGCTTTGTTTTCTACGGATGTTATTTATCAATTCATTACCGATGCAATTTTGCATTATGAATCACTCAGGCGACGAAGTGTATTAATCACACGAGAAAAAATGTTTTCACTACTAGCTGGAGAAATCGCCTCATTGAGCTTTTCACATCTGTTTTTTTTTTTGTTCCGAAGCAGCTGCGTGGGCAGAAGCCTTAATATCAAGGTACCGCGGCTGCTATGAGGAGCTTAAAGAAGCTTTGTTAACCGATTTTTTCAACTGCCGAAAGTTATTATGTCTGGAAAAAGCCTCCTCGGGCAGATTGTTCCACAATCTCGACACTCCAGGGACAACGAAGCGGTCGCATTGGCAAGTTCTGGAAGTCGAAATTTGCCACGGTTGGAATGGGAGGCCGAGGTCAAGCGGGGCTGCTTGGCAGGCTGATCGCGCGGCGGCATCATGGGGGAGAACTCTGAGGAGCAAATATCATTGACATAG